GCCTCTTTTTCCCTAACAAAAGAATCTCGGGGAGCTGAGTGAGTGCTTTCTATAGCCAGGGCTCCTGAGTCTTTCTGCTCTTGGCTGAATAAGAAAGGTGTCTCAGCTAAGGCGGTTTTGATGAATAGAATGCCTCTAAAGTTAGCAAAGAGAACCTGGTTTAATTTGCTTTGACAGATTATAGGGACAAGTAGCACCTACCACAGGTAAAAGGAAAAGGCAAACAGAGGTCCTTGTCATACCCACACTGAGGTCTATAAGCTTTAGGCATGGAGTTTGGGTTGCTCATGGTCTTCTTTGGTCTATCTCAAGTTCTCTTTTCGTGGCTAATGAGGAAGACCTACACCACATGTAGTTAAAATAACCCCCAGAAGAAGCAGGTATCCTAATTATGAGAATTATATCAAAGAACATTTTTATCTGTTAGGACCGTACATCTTCAGGAGACAAATTATTAATACTCACGCAATTGTTCCACTTGTAATCAATTTCCTGAGAGCTTTCCATATCCATCCTTGTCAGTTGGATCAAACTGCGTGCATCTGGTTGCCAATTGGATTATTGCTGGTTAAACTATGTTGTTGCTCATTTATATGAGAAATATGGGACCACCCACTCTCGTTCTGACTGAAGCACGAAAAGCCTTATAGAAAAGCAAAGTACATTTTATCTTTAAATCTAAAAGTGATATCGACTGCTGGTAACACTTGCTGTTATTTTGCTTTTTGCACCAATCTTGGAGGAAAGTTTTCAAATACATTTGTCAAACGATTGACAAGAAGTTCCTCCTTCTTGTTCCATTTATAAAGCTACAGTTTCCTATCTCATTATCTTTTAAAGACTATTAAAAAAAAAGTGACATGCTATTCTTGACTGTGGGAAGGTCCAGTTACCATGGTCTTGGCAGGAGTTTGGGACCACCCATTCTATAGAATCCAAAGTAGCTCACTTCTGTGATACTGGGAAACTAGTATCTAGTACACAAGTAAGCTTTGGGTTTTTCCATTTAAATCCTTGTGGATAGAAAAGAGTCCTCAACTGATTTCTCCACTTATTTGTCTCATTGTCTGTCTAATGGAATCAGGTGGGTGGTTTGCTGCTGAGCTTTGATGACTGTGACGTGCCATGCCTGGTGGGAGCTTCTTGGATGGAAAAGGTGGGGAGCTGACAACAGTGAGAATCTCCGTGGGCAGCAAATCTGAGCTGCCATGTGTTCTAATTAATATTCCACAAATCTTTTAGGTCTCAGCTTCCAAGCCACTTCCTCAAGGAAGCCTTTTCTGACTAGCTCAAATGAAATGTCTCTTTCGTATTTCATAGCTCCATGTACCTCTCCTTTTACCATGCTCATCCAATTTCCAAATATTTGTCCATCTTTCCCCATAGCCTGTAAGCTCCATGAAAGATGGGAATTGTGTCTATATCACTACTACTTACCTTTCAATCGTGTGTAGACTGGATGCCCACCATAATTTTTTTCTTTTGAGTGTAGCGCTTGCATCTTAGAAGGTGTCAAGTTTTGTGCTGGACTTTAAGCATGGCTTTAAGAAAACTTTCCACTTCACCCCTAGGCTTTTTTTTTTCTTTAAATCAAGGTTCTTCCAGTTTCCTTGTTAATAAGCTCAAGCCAATGAAAACGCAACTCTTCTCCTGTTTTATGGGAAGGCTTTATCGAAGACTGCATGGGAGCTTGCTCATTTGGCCAGGTGGTCAGCACGCACATCCAGTCAGAGGTGGACACGAGGCAGTCACTTCATTGCCTGGAAGGTAAGTACATTCTGCAACTAAATTCATTTTTCAGCCCACGGATTCTCAGTAAATACTTGCTGAGTTTAGAAATCAGTGGTAGAGGAAGTGGTAATATGGGTTAAGAGGCTTACATTTGGGAAAGCACATTCAACCTCCCACATTCAGATCTTGACAAAAGGGTCTCAGACCCATAATAACAGTATTTCTATTTTTAGTCATGTTTTCCCATGGAGTTAACATTTAGTGGTTTATAGTGGAATAATTTTGGGAAGTTGAATTTATGTCTCTTTGGGGCTGAAAGCAAACTGATGAAAATGCAACGTGGGTAGTCCGCAGGTGTAGCTAATTGCTGTAAAAGACTCAGGATTCCTGAGACACTTGGGTGGCTCAGTACGTTAAGTGCTGGACTCTTGATTTCGGCTCAGGTCATGATCTCAGGATCATGAGATCGAGCCCTGCATTGGGCTCCGTGCTGGGTGTGGAGCCTGCTTAAGATTCTTTCTCTCCCTTGCCTTCTGCCCCTCCCCCCACCAAAAAAAGACTCAAGATTCCTTCACCTTCCTTGGTGAAGGAATCATCTTCCAGGATTTCTCCCCAGGCCCTAATGGGGTTAAGTGCCTTCCTCTCTGGGAACTAGAGGATTCCCTTCCCACCTGCAAGGCATTTGTATATTTACAGTCCTCTGGCTCTTGCCCCGGATCTTTATGAATCACATGGCTGCCTTCTCCCATCTATATTTTATAAATTCTCCTGGTGAATTTTTGGAGAGAAAAGGTACGAGTTAGCATGGGTGGGAAGTAATTATAGTTTTCAGTTCCCAATCTTTATCTCCTTCTAAGGGAGTTGAAGAAAGAACTAAGACCTTTCGGATGGTTAAGACTGTAAACCTGTGGGTGCTCTTGGAAGCTGTGGAGAAAGAGAGGCTATACAAATGGAAATGAATCCCCCTCCCACCCCCATATGTAATGCCTGGAAGACAAACTAGAGAGGAAGACAATTTTAGGAGCTTAAAGGACATTTGTTCATCATATGCATTTCCCAGGACTTCAGGTAAGCTGAGTGGATTTCATTTCAGACACTATGTAATGAAATGCAGAGCTAATTTTAGGAGTTATTATTCATCAATCAATTAAGCCAGGAAGTTACTTAGTACTACCCACCCCCCCCCAAAAAAAACAAACCAATTTTCTAGGCTTCCTGTTTCAGTCACTTTGCCATGATGAGCAGGCAGGGGAAACTTGACCTTGGAATGCAGGTCATGATACACAGTGTAAGCATCCATCTGCTCTGTGAGGAAAACCTGTGACCAGGGCTGTTGCAGTGAGCAACAAGGGAACACACCTGACTCTGGGCTGTCCATTCCTTCCTGTGCTATATTATTTGGTTTTTTAGTTGGAAACTATCAATTTCTTGCAGCCGTGTAGTACCCATTCTGCCGGAGGAGGATTATATATCCCTGTCCTATTGAACTCAGGTGTGGCCATGAAACTTGCTTTGTCCAAAGAAATGCTAGTGAAGGTGACTTGTGAGACTTCCAAGCAGAAGACCAAAGGGCTATTGTGTGGTTCTGCCATAGTTCTTTCTTTTTGCTGCATACCGGCCAGGTCACAGGTAGAGGCTGCTCCCTCAGCCTGAGTCCCTAGGAAGCTGACCTGAAGAAGCACCACTGCTGATCTGGGATAGACATGTAGCCTGAACAGGAAGTAAGCCTCTGAAACTTGGAGTCATTTGGTACCACAACACAACAATCTATCTTGACTGGTACAATTGTAAAAACATTTGGAGCCTTGTCAGTGGAAATAATTTTGCCCCTCTCCATCTTTGTCTGATTTCTTCTTATAGAAAGCAACCCTATTATCAGATGTAAGGATACTTTTCCAGGTCAGAGGGCAGGCTTAAGAAAAAGTTATGAAGTTGTTCACTGAAGAATGAGATTTCTACATAGTAATATACTCCAATTAACTTCTGGAAGAGTTGGACAGAGAGTGGTAGCTCTCCAAGGGCCAAGATCTTCTTGGTCTTCGTCGTTGCTATGTCTCTGGTGCTTAGCCAGGTGACTTGCCTATATAATTGCCTTCAGTAATTGGATAATGAATTCAGATTGGATAATGAATGAAGTTGGACATCTCTATTCTTCTAGGTAACAGGTAGCATTTTGGATGAAAAAAAATTTATGTTTAGGGTTTGGGTGAAAAGCAAGTTAAATCAAATAAGGAACCGAGAGGCCAACATGGGTCTAAAGGAGTCTGCTAGGGCCACGGCAGGCATCACAACCCCACATGTCACTCAGGCCTATGCCAAAAGCAATGAGTAAAGCAGGCTGGGTCACGTCAGCACAAAAATGGCTTCCTCCCCTTTTTTCTTGAAACATATGGTTCTCTTAGTCTATCTTTAACTCCCCCGCATTTTAATATGGACGTATGTGAGAAATATTTTTCTCTCTAACTTGACTATAGGAAAAACGAAGGCTCAATTATGATGACAATCCATCCCTCATGGTCACCTTTGGTTTCTAGGGGACAAAAGAAGTGATAATTTGAAAAGCACATGTCCTAGCAAAAGGAGTCAGGTATGTCTCAGTGCCCTTGAGTGCTGCCATGTTTGAACATGGGCCTGGTTTTCCCAGAGCATCCTAGTGTTTAGGAGCAGCTGACAATCTGGATTTTGGTTTTGAATTTCCCAATCTTTGAATGCTGGCAACTAAAAATTAATATTAAGTTCACTGGAGGATAATACCATGCAGGCCCAATAACACACCTTTGCAGGGCCGATCTGACCCTAAGCACAAGTAACAACTTCTGACCTTCGTCTATTTTTATGAGTATGGCTTCTGGGATGAAAGCTCTAGACTTTAAGATTATATTTGCATAGGTGTGTGTGATTTTTAGAAAACACCTGGAGGAAGAGCTGATGCCAGCTTCCTGGCCCCCAAACCACAGACTGATGACTCATCACCTGAGCTGCCACGAGGAAGCAGGAGGCTGCTATACGTCCTTTTGGAGTCTCGGAGTCTCTCGGAACGTTGGCGTTCAGGCCAGCGTCCTTTGACTTTGAGTATTTCTAAGATTAAATTGGAGATTTGGGTACTAATTATATATTTAGAGTGTCCTTGCTGAAACAAAACATTTTATTTTTGTGCAAATGTGTTTATTTCTTGTTTCTTTTTCTCAGATAACACTAGAAAATTTCCAGTCTCCTCCCAAGGGCAGAGATGAAGGCCCGCATGAAGAAATAAATGGTTAGGAGTCCCAGGACAAAGGATGTTCTGGTAAAGGAGAGAAAGACCTGTGTAGGAAGAGGTATCCTTATTGTTTTCAGCTTTTCTAAGATTGGAAAGGTGTGTACCTCAGCAGTGGCTACTGTTTGAAGATGTCTGTGATCTTTGGGATGGACTCAATGGGTAGAAGTCAAAGAGGACGATTGTTTTGTTCGTGTCTACCCAGTAGCACTGCAACACCTTTCCTGTACTTTGTAAATTTCTGCCATTTTAAATCTTGCCCCTGAAGGTAGAAGGCAGGTCTTGTGTTCTTAGATCTCACCTTCCCGGTCCATCTTACAGCTGGTGCCCAGTTACCCAGGCTCTGTGTGACAGGTTTCTTCTGTTTGTCCCCCCAGATCCACTTTCTACCCTTCTCTACCTGCCTTGACCCCCAGGAGGCTGACCTGTGTGGCCCATATGACCAAGGTTTCCCTGCCTCTGGCTTCTGGTTGGGTTTAGCCAATGGGAGGCATGAAGAGATTGGAGAGAGGAAGTAGAGAGCAGGGGAGCACCAATTCCCCCAGCTCCACTGATGCCAGGGAAGTGTTCTGACTGTTCCAGGAATAGACAGTGGCAATGTCAGAGAGTCGTGGACATAACGGATGACCTTGCCAACTTGGTGGGCAATACAGATGAGAAACTTGATCCTGAAAGCAGGTCTGTGAATATGGTGGACAGCAAGTCAATGTCTTGTGGGATGATAATGGTGATTTTATTGCTCCTTGTGGCTATTGTGATCATTGCAGTCTGGCCTACCAACTAGGGGTGATTAAAGGACCACCAGCCATGAACCTGCCAGTGAAGGAAAAAAGCTCAGCACCCTTTTGGTACATGAAATCTGCTCTCAATAAATTCCCTCAAAGCTCTGAAACGAAACAAAAGGAGACAAAAGAAAAAACTATTTACTATCTCTACTATCTCTACTGGCTATTCCAGGAATAGCTCCTTCCCCTTGGCCCTTCAGATGTAGGTACAGTAATAGTTTCCTCTGGGGGATAGTCCTTGGGTACATCACCATCCCTTCCCACATCAAGATAAATTGTCCTCCTAATAAAAACTCTGAAATTATCCTTTTGAATGTGACATCTCTTTTCTGCCTAGACGCCCCACTGATTCAATTCTGCCAATCAAACCCGATTTTGCCAAACTTTGACCCAAAGCTGGTGACAGGAGAGTGTCGGGATGGAGTGACAGATGATTTTTCGAGTCAACTTGGCTGAGCCATGGTACCCAGATAATTGGTCAAACATTATTCTGGAGTTTCTGTGAGGTTTTGTTTTTTGTTTTTGTTTTTGTTTTTTGTTTTGTTTTTTTGGATGAGATTAACATTTAAATTAGCGGGCTTTGAATCAAGCAGATTTTTCTCTCCAGTATGGGCCTCATCCAATCAGTTAAAGGCCTGAATAGAATGAGAGACTAACCTCCCCAAAGCGAGAGGGAATTCTGCCAGCAGCCTGACTTTGGAATTGCTTTGCAACTCTTCCCTTCCAGCTTACTCCATCCGATATTGGACTTACCAAGACTCATCACTTCTCGGCCTTTTGGCTAAGATCAAGTGTGGACTTACCAAGACTCCACAATCACATGAGCCCATTTCTTAAACCAATAAGATACACACACACACACACACACACGTTCTGTCTCTCTGGAAAACCCTAACACACATGGTGAACTTGATTTCTTTCTTTGGAGGTTAGGCTGCAAGGTAGAATTCCTGGTATGGATGTGACAGTGGCTCAGACTGCACAATGATTGGTTGGTGGCAATGGCGATGGTAAGAGTTGCCTAATCAGCCTGGTTCTGCCGTGTGTTGGGAACTGTTTCTAGGAGCTCATTCAAGCCCAGTTCTCCAGCCCTCCAAAGAGTTTTGTGACCTGCTTAACAACCTCCGAATATTGTCCTTTGGCTTATTCAAGCCGAGTCCATCTTCTCTTGCTTACAAGCATTAACCATGACAGAAGCGTAGATTGAGTACAGTTAGAGAAAGATCAGATTGCAAAGAAGAGAAAGTTTTGTTTTTGTTTGTTGACTTAAAGAATAGTTATAAAATATAGTTTCATGGTATGAAAGTAATACATTTTTCTTGCAATAAACAATAAATATATTTTCATCCAGCCGTACTATTATTTCTTCCTTTATAGTGTAATGTACTTCTACAGACTGGCACAAATGATAAAGGACTCAAGCATATTGTTATTGTTCCCTCATTTAATTTCACTTCCGAATGCCTCTGTGATCTTGATTCAGCCTGAAGAAGCAAATGTGATCGTGTTTGCAAGAGGCTGCCTTCCAAGATGGTGTATGCAATGTTGGTCTATGTTCCTTTTTCTCCTTCTCTATAGAAATACCAAGTTAAGCTTGCAGTTTCCATGATGTTTGTAGAAGGATTAATTTCTACAAAACAGAAGATTCCAAAATCTGCCTAAGGAATAGCCCTACTTTCTGGATAACAAACCAATGTTTTTTGTTTCTGATATGTTTTAACTTTTTGGCTTCCGTGGGAATGCGTGAAAGAGGAAATTGTGAGAAAATGTTGGTTTTCCTCTTGTTATATGGCCCTATCCCTAAATGGAGCATTTTTGTGCAATATCCTTCTGAGTCTAACAATTGTTTTTTTTAAATAAATAGACTTTATTTTTTTAAGAACAGTTTTAAGTTCACAACAAAATTGAGTGGAAAGTACAGAGCATTCCCATATATCCTCTGCCCCCACATAGGCACAACTTCCCCCACTTAACATCCTCCACCAGAGTGGTACATTTGTTGCAATTGATGAACCAACCTTGACACATCATTATCACCAAAGACCATAGTTTATATTAGGCTTCACTCTTTCTGTTGGATGTTCTATGAGTTTTGAGAAATGTATAATGGCATGTATTCACTCTGCTATCATACAGAATAATTGCACTGCCCTAAAAATCCTTTTTTTCTGCCTATTCATCCCTCCTTTTCCCCAAATCCCATGGTAACCATTGATCTTTATAATGTCTCCATAGTTTTGTCTTTTCCAGAATGTTATATACTTGGAATCATACAGTATGCAGCCTTTTCAGGTTGGCTTCTTTCACTTAGTAATATGCCTTCAAGTTCCTACCGTGTCTGTATTCATAGGCAAGAACTTATTTCTTTTTAGTGCTGATTACATTGCGCAGATGTACCACAGTTTATCCATTCACCTATTGAAAGACATCAACTTAAAACAATTTTTTAAAGATGATGGTGCTGGGTCCACATTTAATTTTAATAGCTGTGTATATCATGTTAAGGCTAAACAATAGTTAAAAGTAGGACAAGAGCACAAGCAAATTCATAAATTAAAACTTCTGTTGCCTTTTCTCATTTGTACTTCATGACATTTATGTCTTTGCTGCTCCCTGAGCTATGTATTTCTGAATATATTTTGCTTCAGTTGTATTAATGAGAACTCTTTTTGTTGCCTATGCATGGCACTCCAGAGATCACATATGAGGATCCTACTCCATTTATTCTTTTTTTAAAAAAAATATTTAGTTTATTTATTTGAGAGACAGAGAGTGAGAGAGAGAGCACAAGCAGGGGGAGCTGCAGAGGGAGAGGGAGAAGTGACTCCCTGCTGAGCAGGGAGCCTGATGTTGGACTTGATCCCAGGACCCTGAGATCATGTCCTGAGCTGCAGGCAGACGCTTAACCGACTGAACCACCCAGACACCTCTCCACTTACTCTTCTAGTCAATATCTAATAGGAAAATATAAACCTTTCTACATACTCCAAACAGAGAGAGATTTAATGCAGAGAATTGGTTGTAAACAACATCTTAGAATGGCTAGAGAAGCCACAGCAGGAAGATGGTTTTTTCCAGGAGTCAGGAAGATGCTTCACCAAAACCTGCAGTCTGGAAATACAGAACAAATGCCAACACCATATTCAGAGATACCAGAAAATTTAGAATTATCATACCAGAACTTTAAAATAATTATAATAAATATGCTAAGAACACTAATGGAAAAAGCGAACAACATGCAAGAACAGAGGGATAACGTAAGCAGAGATATGGAAGTGCTAAGAAAGCATCAAAACAAAGTGTTAGAAATGAAAAACATGGTACAGAAACAAAGAATGCTTTTGAGGGCACTTGGGTGGCTCAGCCAGGTACGTGTCAGACTCTTGATTTCAGCTCAGGTCTTGATCTCAGGGTCGTGATTCAAGCCCCACATTGGGCTCCACGTGGGTGTGGAACCTACTAAAAAAACAAAAGAAAAAAAAGAATGCCTTCAATGGGCTCATCAGTAGACTGAATGTGACTGAGGAAAAGAGAAAGATCAGTGAGCTTGGAGATATGTTAATAGAAACCTCCCAAGTTGGAAAGTAAAGAGGAAAAAGAAGGAAAAAAATGGAACAGAATATCCACATACTGTGGGACAATCACAAATGGTGTAACATAACACAAAATGAGAATATTAGGAGGAAAAGAGGGAAAGGAAAGGAAGAAATATTTGAAACAACAATGACTGAGAATTTCCCCCTAATTAATGTCAGACTTCAAAACAAAGATCCAAGAAGCTTAGAGAACAACAAGCAGGATACATGCCAGAAAAACTACACCTCAGCCTATCATTGTCAAACTGCAGAAAATCAAAGACAAAGAGGAAATCTTCAAAGAAGCCAGAGGAAGAAACCCACCTTACCTATCAAGAAACAATAAGACTTCTCTTCAGAAACAATGCAAGCAAGAAGAAAGTGGAGTGAAACAGTTAAAGTATTGAAAGAAGAAAGCCACCCACCTACAATTTTGTCTCCAGTGAAATTATCCTTGAAAAGTGAATGAGAAATAAAGACTTTTAAGACAAACAAAAATTGAAGGAACTGATTGCCAGTAGGTCTGCCGTATAAGAAATGTTAAAAGGAAAGATATGAAAATGGATATACATTTTCATCAGAGGATATAAAATCACTTTGCAGAGGGTCATGGATACAGGAAAAGATGGAGAATTTGGCTCATTTTTGGCAGTCAATATACACACAGAGATACTTTTAGGTATTTTCAAGAAAAGGGAGTTTGTTATAAAATGCATATTTCTAGATATTGTAGCATAGAACTAGACAGAGATACTCCATTTTTCTCTCTAAGTCCTATTATATGGTTTGTCTTTCTTATTCTGTCACATCTATCCAGACCTCCAGTACTAATTCCTGAGTGAGAGTCTGATGGGTCAGTTCTGTCATGGACCACCCATCAAACTGTAGACTGCTACCCATATTCTCTTAGCACTCACCATTCCAGTAATTGCCAACATTATGCTACTCTAAGTATCTGCAATTCTCTGCCTGAGGGCTTTCTTTTGACCCAAACTTGTGAGGCAGTCTGGCAGTTCTGAGGAATTGTCCTAAATCAACAGCAATTGGGAATTGGTAGACGTGGCAGAGTGTTTACATCGATGGCACTAATTCTTTGACCCTCTCTGAATCCATGCCCCTTACACTACGACTTTGTAGTTTGTCTCACTAAAGGGAGGGCATCTATTTCCCCATCACTTGAAACTGGGCTTCATGTTTTATTGGTCTGTAGGATGTTAGCAGACTTGATACAGGGGCTAGAGAAAGCTTTTGGTGCATTTCTGCTTTCTCCCCTATTCCTCTGTGATGGCCATGAGAGCATGGCCAGGCTAGCCTGTCAAAGGATGAGACATATGGAGCAGCCAAGGCCTTCGTAGAACAGCTGATAGTCAGATGACCCCTGGGCATGGAAGAGAAAGGCTAGCTGAGATCAGCAGAGCCAACTAGCCAATCCACAGCTGGCCTGCAGATGCATGAATGAGCTTAACTGAGATCAGAAGAAACTGCCCAGCCGACCTGCAGTTGCATGAGCAGAATAAATGGTTGTATTTTAAGCTACTATGCTCTCCTTGAACTACCAGCTTGGAGGGATAATGATTTAGGCAAGAATGATTAAGTTCTTGACTTCTTTGGCAAGAGATAGGCTTGAGCATTAGGCATAATTGAGAAGGGGGGATTTTTCTAAATTTCTTTAGTTGTTTTTGTAGACTGGATATTGTTTTTTAGAAACTTTTTATTGACATGGTATATA